TTGTAAAGCTCTCCCACTCCAGTAACTCACTTTGTCTAATGGAAAAAATGATCTGCAAAGCGGAAATACAATTTCTTTGTAGAAAATAATTAAGATAAAAGTTCTGTTCATACGAATTAGTAGAGCTCAATAAGCTTCAATTCAAGTACTGTTATTCATTCTTCGTCAGAATGAACATCCCTTCATAATCTTAGACTACAGACTAGAGGAGTAAGGCAGTGAAGATGGATCCGAGCTTGAGTGAGATTGTTCGTACACGGTTTTTGCAGTGCTTTTTTTACCTTAACTAAACATGGAAATTGTATATAGTTAGTATACGTACATAGATGGAGTTAGGCATGTTTTGTTGAAGTCGGAAATATAGCAGATCGAATACGATGACCCCCTTCTCAATCTGCCTAATTCTTCTTATCATACGAGAGCAACACCAATAATTGCTAATGGATGAGTCGTTTGAGATGTCCACGAAGAAGCAGTATTGAGGATAAAACGCCGATTTATATCTGCCCCTGAGGGCTAAGCCGGTTTCACAACGTCTCATTCGCATCTAAAGCAAAGACTGTACATTTCGACTGTCCTTTCTTTGGACATAAAGGGTTATCTATTATTGGTATATAAAAGAGAGACGAGTGATTCAAGAACGAATAGTAGATATGAAATTAAATTACGACTGGAGAACTTTAAAACGAAATATGAACTTGATTTCTGTGCCGTAAGATTTTTTTGGCTCATTAAAAACCTACCCATGGAATGATTTATATTTTATTCCATTCATTTCCTTTCAAGTGGAAATTACTATTTTTCTGTATTGATGAAAAAGATAGTGTCATTTTCTATGTTTTTCGTCATTAAAGGATGTCGAAATATGGAACACCGTGTTGCTTTTTCCCGTTATTTTAAATTGATAAACTGTGAAATATTTTTTTGAAGTTTTACCGGGATCTCTGTGTTTTTATAAACGCATTTTGGGTTTATTCATCCGTCGTTTACAACTCTTTGAAGTGCTTGGCCAATGAGTACCATTAGGCCGGGAGTTTATAACGCAAATGAAGACTTATTGCATCCTTTTCTGAGAAAAAATGGATTAAATATTATTTGAAATATTATTAGTAAGTAGTGAAACCAAAAAGTTAATATTCATTCTAATGCCACAAATATCGCAAAGATCGTTTTTGAAGTAATTTGATTACTGACAGCGTCAAGATTCTGATGTTGGGACGTAGAATTAGTCTAAGAGCAAAATATTCTTCAAAACCAACAATTTGTTAAAAGTTTAGTAGAAGAAAATGGAACAATTTTGCATCCTCATCAAAACTGGGCTGCGAATAACAGCAAACGCCATCAAACTGATAAAGGGTATCAGGATGGGTTCCGAAAGCTCTGCTAAACTTTCAACAAATTGCTGGTGCTGAAGAATTCGTTTTTTTCTGTAATTGATTACTGTTTGGAATTAGGAAAAATGTAACCTATTCCTTTTTATTTAGGACTCAAGCTGATTTATAGCAATAATTTCTTTAATAAGTCAACAGCGCTGAAATTTAACAGCATAGCATATTATCTTTATCTCGCTTCATGAAACTGGCTCTAGGTTCCTTTCAAGCCATGTGCTTCAGTTCTAGACTCAATGCCAAGTCGTTTAGTTGATACTTACGTTTTCCAGTAAGTTTTAGAACTAATATTCCTTAATTTTCTTGAAACAAACAAACAAACCTTCACAATCTGAAAGCCTGTGATTCAAATGCATCCTTCAAGCCACCAAGTGGTTACAACAGGTGATTAGGGATGAACGAATCTCATATTATATAACTATTATTTTTGAACCATGTTGGAGGTGGACCACACGAAAATCACTCGCGTATAATTATGTGTTTTACCAAGAGATTTTCGCATTTAGCGAAACTCTTTCAAAAGGTTTCGCTTTACAAATAATGACCTCGTCAACACGGCTTTTACTTAACTGTAATGTACAGACAGCGTTATAACTCTGTTTTTGGCAGGTAAAATCATTGTCGTCGAAAGTGTTGAGTAAACGAACCTTCCAGACGAAAGCACAAACTATTTTGCCCAACTGGTCTTACGTTCTGTCGTCTTTTTCCCCGGAATTTGTTTAAAGCGTCTTTGAAAATTTGCATTCTGAAACTGTAGACGAGAGGGTTCACCATAGAATTTGCCATATGCATGGCATCCACGAGCCAAAAAACCTGTGGTGTAGAAAGGCATCCAGAACAGAATCCTTTCGTTGAGTAGACGACAAAACCAGGCATCCAAAACACAAGCGATGAAGCAATTGTGATATAAAGTGTTTTTGCAAGGCGTAAATTGTGCTCCCTTGATCCGTGCTTATGATTGCCTATCGTGGACGATGATGTTGCGCGCAATCGAGTACGTATGCTAAGGTAACTTGTACAAATTATCAAGATGGGAATAAGAAAGCATATCCTACTCGCCACAAAAACATATTCCCCCTTTACTTCTGACAAATGGAAGGATAATACGGTAAAACCAAAGAAAACAAGGCCGACGACCCAAACAATAACGATGCTATAGATGTAAATCCGACTGTTTGTAATGCGATGACGGATTGGCCGCAAGACGGCGAAAGCACGTTCCAAGGAGACAAGGGCGAGAAAATAAACGGACGAATTCGAAAAAAGCATAACAAATGATGCTGAGGGATTTGATCGGCGCTGTCTTAATACACCGCCTGCGTAACCCTCTCCAATATCTTGAAATTTCACGGTTCCTATGACAATAAGTTCTGTAATCCCCACAAGAAAATCAGCGACTGCGAGGTTGACCAGAAGGAAATAAATACGTGTTAGGCGGGATCTCTGGGTCCAAAAGACGAAGATAGTAAACGCGTTTCCAACGATGATAATGATTCCTTGTACTGTGTAGATGACCACGAGGGTAATGTACGTTGAAGTAGGCATGTCCCTGCTCGTTCTGTTGTCAATTTATCCCAGCAGGCACGAAACAACTCTCGCACAGTTGAAAAGATATGATGAACTCAGGATATAAATGGCCCTCGTCAAACTATTATTTCTATGTAGACGTAGACTAATAAGGAAAATCATGAAAATACAGGTGTCGCTGATCTTTAGTTCGATAAGCTTCAAATAGCTGCGTTGTGTCGAAGATATTCGATTAACTGAGATGTCGCACCTGAATCAATAGGCCATTACCGAGTTCCCCCGGGCCTCTGTATCAAAACGAGGTTAAGTGCTCAGCCTTTGATATGGAAATGATCTTTCATCCTCATGCAAATGAAACTCATTTCCACAAGAAAGGTTGTGCACTTGGCCTCATTTTGAAAGTAAGGGTTTTTGGAACTCGGAAGTAGCTAATTAAAATTTATAGGAATTAAAGGGGATAACGTCCTTTGGCATATGCCCCAAGGGTTTTGAAAAATTTAATTTCTTAACAGCAGGTGTAAGTAAACACGATTATTTGCGTCTTATGCGATAATAACATACTACTGCTATGATTGATTGGGGCATGAAGTCGGTGTCCGTGAAAAACAAAATAACCTTGCCCTCTGTGTTTTAAGATTTCTTTAGCCTGCGAAAACATCCGTTTCTCCTCGCTCTTCGCTGGAAATGGGTGTTTTCGCAGGCTAAGATTTCTTTGGCAAATCAAAATTTCATTTCGTCAATGCAAAGATTGAATTATATTAGTGCATGGACCAGGACCCAAAAATGAGAGAGTAGGTACCACTTGGGAGGAAAAAGGCTTATATCCCTGGATCATTGATTCCTTGTCTAAAGTTTATATTAAAGTGAAATAGCAAGGTGATTCACAGCCTTTTAAGGGATGAGGGGTGATGATACCTTTATTAAAGTGTCAAAACTGTAATAGCGGTGTATAACCACTAGGTGGGGACACTAAAATAAATTAAAAAAGAATGAATCAATTAATAAATTAATTAAAATTAAGAAAAACTATGTACAGTATAAGCAAGTGAGAAATTCGAGAGAACTATATACAATATGTACAAATGTATCCATTATCTTATAAAAAAAATAAGAAATAAAAGATTAAGAAGTGCAAAGAAAGCAGTTAGAGCAGTTATTGTCATCTAATAGCATGCTAAGATCCACTTTTCTGATGTTATATTTGAAGGAGGAAAACGTGGAAGCTTTTTTCACGTTACTAGGAACAGAACTCCATACCTTTGGGCCCATATACCTGAGCGAGTGCTTTCCTCAGGAGACTGTGTTGAATAACAACCTGTTCAATCCTCTTTTATGCTTGATCTTAAACGATTTCTAGTAATAGGAGATCACGAAAAAAAATTGAAAAAACCTTTGAGAAAATGCCAGAGGAAAGCGTCCGTGGATAAAGTCCTTTCATCGTCGATTGTGATGATTCTTGGAAATCACAAATTGAACGATCACGTGTTTAGTCAGATGACAAGAAAAGACACAATCTCCTTTCATTTCTGCCCGGTTGAGTTTCTCACTATGATAACATTTACTTTCTGGCTGCAGGAAGACTAAAAAAAAGGCGGATGTTTCAACCTAAGGTGGTTTTTCTGGCATATTTCTCTAGTATTTTCTTTTCATTTAGTCACTTGAGCAATCGGATTTTCTTAGCTTAATTCAAAGGCATTATTGACCGCGTCAAGTCAACACAGCTTTTAATATTTGATCACTTATAATATACATTCAGGGTTAATACTCTACTTTAGGCAGGTAAAATCTTTCGAATCGAAATTGTTGGAGTAAAAGAACCTTTCAGACCAAAGCCCAAATTATATTGCTGAAGTGGTCTTATGTTTTTCGTCTTTTTCTCCGGGATTTGTTTAAGGCGTCTTTGAAAATTTGCATTCCGAAACTGTTAACGAGAGGATTCACCATAGAATTTACCAGATACATGACATCCACGAGCCAAAACACAAGTGGTGTAAAGCATCGCTGACAAAATTCTCTCCTTGAGTAGACAACAAAAGCAGGCATCCAAAACGCAAGCGATGAAGCAATTGCTATAAAAACTGTTTTTTAAAATCGTAAACTGTGCTCCCTTGATTGATGCCTGTGATTGTCTAGATCCGCGCGTGGTGGTGCTCGCAATCGAGTGCGTATTCTTACGTAACTTACACAGATTATCAAAAAGGAAATAAGAAGGAATGTCCTAAAAGTGAGGAAAACATATTCCCCCACAAAATCTGAATAATGGAAGGATAATAAGGTATAACCAAATAAAGCAAGACCGACAGCCCAAACAATAACGATGCTACAGTTGTAAAGTCGACTGTTTGTGATGCGATGGCGGATTGGCCATAAGACAGCGAAAGCACGTTCCATGGAGATAAGCGCAAGAAAATATACGGACGTACCCGAAAAGAGAAGTATAAAAGCCGCTATCGGGTTTGCTCGGCTCCGCATCAAAAAACAGAAACCCTCCCCTAGATTATGAGATTTAGCAGTTCCAATGATTATAAATTCCTTAATCCCCATAAGTAAATCGGCGACTGCGAGGTTGATGAAAAGAAAATAAGTTCGTTTTAGGCGGGATCTCTCGGTCCAGAAAACAAAGATCGGGAATGCGTTTCCGACGACGATAAGGACTGCTTCCAGAGTGTAGATTATTACCAGGGTAATGTACGTCGAAGTAGGCATATCTGTAATTTGCTTTTTCTGTTTTTTTATTCAAATATGTCCTGTCCTAAAAAAAAAAGGAACCAGCTATCGCACAGTTGAGAAGATATGATGCACTTAGCATAAAATGGCCTTCTTGTATTGTTTCTCCGTCAAAATGCTTTTTGACCTTTTGTTTAGACCAAACAGAGATATTGCTATATGGAAGTGGAATTTCCGTTGATTTTTAGAAATTAAGGTCAGCTAACAGGGGCACCCATGGCCAAAGGCCAACGACTGTTTTCTGTAAAATATTTGTTCAGAGAAGCAAATGTTGCCTAGAAATTTCTATTGCTTGAGGACGGCTACAAATGTCTAGATGAAATGAATGTTCCATTGTTTTACAATTTTCGAAACTTATCTAATAAATTACCTGCGATTTTCTGAAGCTTAATTTTCCACATTTCACTGCCCAAATAATGTTTATGGGAGACCTAAAATCCTCGGATTCAAAAATGTGATTGAGATAGGAATCAGAAAAATTCTCACATTCGTGAAACGATAAATTGCATCTAAAATTTTCTGGAAAATAATTCTGAAGCCCTTGTAATTTCGAAAAGACTCAAGTTCTCCGAGGATGATCGAACAGATAGGTGACAATTTTATAGCGCAGCTTACTATAGAAAGTATCAATAGGAATCTAAAAGTACTCTGTGTAGCCTAAAAAGTGCTTTCAGCGTATTAGTAAAGTCTTCGTTGGGTGTGTCGAGGACACTTGTGCGACTAAATGAGTATATTGAGTATAGATCGTTTTCACTGTCACGCAACAAAAAATTAAATTAGAAACCCTCCGGTGGAAGAAGCTAAGAAAATGAAGTGTTATAAAAGACTTAATATATAAACAATTTGTCCAAGTCTCAGGTCTTTGTGGCTCATAGTTTCTGAGTTATTTGCCGAAACGTTTCACTCACCTTTGTAGAGCTTTGTATCGAGACGACATATTGGTGTACCGTTTGGGTGCACCAATATGGCCGCCAGAAATCAACAAAAACATCTGGAGTTCACTTTTTCTTTAAAAGCTCTCTCTTTTCAGTCGAGAACTAACATACGTACGCATAAACATATCTTCTAATACTTGAACTGCTGAAAATCAAGAGGAGAGACTTTTTTTCAACGAGACAGCATTCTTATTTTGCTGTCACGCACTGTGAAAACTCTGAAGTTCAAATTGCTGTATTTTAGAAATGAAACATGTTACGGGAATGGAAAATTGTATAAAGATTTACTTTTTGTTTATCTTCAACTTAGTGTAAATAAGAAGGGCTTTTCGCCTCAAGGTAATCGATCCTCATCATGGGTGACTTCAACATAAACCTACTCGGTGTCGAAAAATGCAATAAGTATGCGCATAATTTTCTACTTTCATTACAAAGCTTTTCTTTATTTCGACAATTGATAAAACCAACCCGTTTCCATAATAATTCAGCTACGTTAATTATATATATTGAAATTATCCTATTAAATAGATTTGATTATAATATCACCAGTGGGAATATTGTTTCCGCTGTTAGCGATCATTATTCACCATTCTGCTGTATTCTCCAATTCTGTTGAAGCACAAATGTATAACCGAAAACAAAAAAACGTGATTTCTCTACAGGGGCGGATCCAGGAATTCTTGATTTTTTTTTTTTTTTTGGGAAGGGGGAGGGGGTCCAAATTTTGGTTTAAAAAGGACCGTTGAACTTATTTGTTTGTCAATCTGTGAACGCCGGTAGCCGTTGGCGCGGGAGCCTGCTTTGCGAGCAGAGGCGAACTGATCCTAGGAGGCTACCCCAAAACAACTACATTTTTGAGTATCCCTGAAATTTAGTTTGGTGACAAAATGCAACGCACCTTTGATTAAAAAGACTCAGCCGGTTAAAAAGTGATATTTTTGATGAAAATCCTGAAAGGAAGGAACTGTTCGATGCCATCAATGCAACAAAGGAAGGTAAAGCCCTTGGAAGGTGTGGTATACCTGCCGAAATCTGAAAACATTGTGGCTGTGAAACTCGCCTCTAGCCTGTGCAAACTGAGTTTGCAGACCAGGGAAACTCAAGATTTACCAAAAGACTGGAAAGATGGCATTATCGTTCCAGTCTTCAAGAAGGGAAGAAGAAAGGACTGTGGGAGCTATCGAGGTATTTCTCTTCTCTCAAAAGATCTGGACTCGCATACTCCTCAACAGACTCAACGAACACGTTGTCCCCATATCGTGCCTGAGACTCGATGTGGTATTCGCAGTGCATGGAAGAGGCACTGTGGATATGATCGATCCTCTGTTTTGCGACAGTTATAAGAGAAGGTTGAAGAGCATAATATGCCGCTGTATGCCGTTTTTATTGACTTCTCTGAGGCTTTTGATACAGTGTTCGGAAAGTATTGATGTACTGCTGAATTTATCAATCTGGCGAGGGCACTGCACAACGTAATGTTAACATGTTAACATGTGGATCAATGAAGCTACATCTCCAAGGTATTTGCTGTCACCCACCGATTTTGTCAAGCAAGGTTGCGTACTTGCTCCGACACTGTTCTCTCTCTACCTAACAATGCTAAAGGCGGCCTTTGACGGTGTTGGGGACGGTATCTTCATCCAAACTCGTACTAATGCTGACCTGTTTAACGTACCCCTTTTCAAAGCAAAAACACGCACAACCTAGATCCTAGGGAGGGAAATAATGTTTACAGATGATGGTGCTGTAGTTGCCTACAGTGCTTGTGACATTCAGAGGCTGGTGGACAGCTTCACCAGAGCTGCCTCCCAATTTGGCCTAAGTTCAACATCAAGAAAACTGAGTGCTTAAACCAACCGCTGCAAAACTTAGATCCAGTTCCTGAGCCAACAACTATAACTATCAATCAAGAGGCTCTGATGCAGTGATACGACTTCAGATACCTAGGAAGCACTATTTCCAACAATGCTAGCCAAGACAGTGAACTACGATACAGGATGCCAATTGCAAGTGCTGCTTTTGGAAAACCACGGGACAGGTTTTGGAAAACCGGCATGTGTCTATTGAAGTCAAGTGCAATGCCTATCAAGGTGTTGTCCCTTCTTCCCTCTTCTATGGTGCTGAAACATGCATGGACTATGCATCAGCGTAAGTGAAGAAGCTTTTGCCTAGTCCCAAGGCCTCATTATCCTGCCCGGCCAAAGCGTTTCGAGTCACGTGGTCCAAGCGAAAATGTGTTTTGCGCCCATTCGCCCCGGATACGTCACTGAAGTGAATTGACCGAGAGTGCCTGGGAAAACGCCGTACAGGGACTAGCTCCATGCCTATATATGGTGGAACATCTAAAAGTAATAATGAACGGAATGTATCCTGGAAGGACAAGAACACGCAAGTGGAGAGTCCCTGCCTTGCAGGACTACTATCAATGGCTGATATTCTCATCGAGAAAAATCTAAGACGGTTGGGTCACGTGCATAGGATGAATGATAACAGACTACCAAAGTAGCTGTTAGCTGCTACAAAATATGCAGCTGTCAACTCTGTTTGGTAATGGGTAATCAAGGGAGGCCTAGATTAAGGTTCACAGATGTTGCAATTCAAGAAAAACATGAAATGGAGAGACATCAATCTCAACCGATGGCAGGAGAGTGCCAACGACATACCCATCTGGATTAGACTTATCACACTTTGCTGAAACCTAGAACAGTCTTAGTCGAGCCGACTGACTGCCATGTTGATGATATTCATGGCCGTTCCAACCATCGCTAAGCAGTTCAGGATCCACGAATAGGGCACCATATCACTAGAAGGATTACTAACCAAAGATCAGAGACCCTTATACCCTCATCAAGGTGGTCGTTACCGCGCCAGAAACCACGCTGGTGTCTTCTGGTAGAGAGCGACCTATGTCACTTTCTAGCATGACCTCAGATTTAAAAGCTCCCAACACTGTTAGTTCTGTAATCGCTACAAGCAAATCTGCAATTCCGAGGTTGATCAAAAAAAAAAAACAAAAGTTCGTTTTATGCGGGATCTTTGATTTTGTAAACGTGTTTGCATGTTTGCGCGTAGATGACCACGAAGGAAATGGACGTCGATGAAGCGATGTCTTTCCTCGTTCAGCAACCAGTTGCTTCGCCCTTAAATCGGAACAACTTGTGCACAGTTGAAAAGGCCGGTACATTTTACTTACCAATCACAAGAAAATATCGTTTTTATATCATTTCTCTGTATAAAATACCCTGTCTTCTTGTAGACCAAACTATTTCTACATGATGGCAGTGAGGAGTCAATCCGCTAATCTTTGTAAAACTCAGTAAGGTTCAGAATTAGTATTGTTGAGTCGAATCAAGTCGAAGATACTTGATGCTTAACTGAGTTATTAACGAAATGACTAAATTAACACGCATATATGTAGAGGTAATACTGAAGGCAGACTGGCGTTCGTCCGTTCATTATACCATAAGCTTTTTATACGACATTTCCTTAGCAGCAGTGTAAACAGAGACGCTTATTTATTTGCATCGAATGTGAATTACTGGGCATTATGTCACTTTTAATTTGGGAACACGAAAACGGTTGGCAATGAAAAAGCAAATATATGCAAGAACATTCAAAATGAAATTGGCATGTCATAAAGAAAGGTGTCTTAAGTTTCCTTTTGTGCAGTATAATCGATTTATTCTGCTGATGTTTTTTCAGAGGTAATTATACATATTTCGTTCTATATAAAATTGATATTTTTACTGTCCATATTTTTATTAAAATTTAAGGGAGAGGAAGAGAGAAATGTAAGACATTTTTGTGATTGTCGGGAGGGAAAACTCTGAGGACTCATCTCATCAAAGTTATTTCAAGAAATCCAAAATGTGGTTGTCACTGCAACACTTACTGACAACAGTGCTATAAATTCAGAGGCACCCGACGAGAATATAGTTCAAAACCACTTAAACATAGCATTGTTAAACGTATTTTAGTATTTAAACGGTAGATATAGGCATATTTTTATCCCCTAAAAATTTTTCATCTGTTCGGATTTCCTGGCTGAAAGTCTAGAGATCCGAAAATTATAGGGATCAAAACTTACCTTTTCAAAAATTTCAGCCAGAAAAAAGGCTCCCGAAAATTCTAGGTGAGCTTTTTAGGGTAAAAATCCGTTAAAAAAAGGCAATTGTACCAATTTTTAGATGTTCGAAAATCCTAAGAGAGGCAGGCAAGCAAGAAATTTTACAAAAAATGTTCCGAAAATTCTAAATCTAAATTCTAATTCTAGATCCGAACAGATATTTTCCGAAAATTGACGTTGGGTGCCCCTGTAAATTGTTTGTATTTATCTGCCTCCTTTTAAATTACTTATTTACAAAGCCCATGCCAAATGCTGAGGTATCAACGTTTTGTTAAAGCTTATTAGGCATTATTAGTATTGCGTTATGTTTTGCTAACGCAGTTGATTAAATAACTAACCCAAAAAGTTCTATATTCATTTTATAACACGACAAAAAATTAGTTAAAGTAAAACATGTTGACCATTTGATTCGTTTGCCTCAAGTTTAACAAAGATTCAATTCCAGTCTAGATTTAGCAGCATTTTTTTTCTCATCTGCCTCCCTTATTTTCTATTTATCAATTTTGGCCTTTTAATTTGTGGCGTATAGTGCTTTTTTGACTTAAACCAAATTACTGCAATACAGCATGATTTGTAATGCTCTCCCACTCCAGTAACTCACTTTGTCTAATGGAAAAAATGATCTGCCAAGCGGAAATATAATTTCTTTGAAGAAAATAATTAAGATAAAAGTTCCGTTCATACGAATTAGTAGAGCTCAATAAGCTTCAATTAAAGTACTGTTATTCATTCTCTGTCAGAATGAACATCCCTTCATAATCTTAGACTACAGAGGAGGAAGGTAATGAAGATGGATCCGACTTTGAGCAAGATTGTTCGTACACGGTTTTTGCAGTGGTTTTCTTTACCTTAACTAAACATGGAAATTGTATATTGTTAGTATACGTACATAGATGGAGCTAGCATGTTTTGTTGAAGTCGGAAATATAGCAGATCGAATACGATGACCTCCTTCTCAATCTGCCTAATTCTTCTTATCATACGACAGCCAAACCAGTAATTGCTAATGGATGGGTCGTTTGAGTTGTCCACGACGAAGCGGTATTAAGGATAAAACGCCGATTTATATTTGCCCCTGAGGCCTAAGCCGGTTTCACAACGTCATTTTCACATTTGGTGACAATAAACACGACTATTTATTCGCATCTAATGCAAAGATTGTATACTTCGGCTGTCATTCTTTGGACATAGAGGGTTATCTATTATTGGTATATAAAAGAGAGAAGAGCGATTCAAGAACGAATAGCAGATATGAAATTAAAGTGCGACTGGAGAACTTTAAAACGAAATATGAACTTGATTTCTGGGCCGTAAGATTTTTTGGCTCATTAAAAATCTACCCATGGAAAAATTTATATTTTATTCCATTCATCTCCTTTCAAGTTGAAATTACTATTTTTGTGAATTGATGAAAAAGATAGTGTCATTTTCTATGTTGTTCATCATTAAAGGATGTCGAAATATGAAGAACAGTGTAGCTTTTTCCCGTTCATAGTAATTTTCGTTTTTGAAATTAACTGTGAAATATTTTTTTTAAGTTTTACGGGGATCTCTGTGTTTTTATAAACGCATTTTGGGTTTATTCATCTGTCGTTTATAACTGTTTAAAGTGCTTAGCTAATGAGTACCATCAGGCTGGAGTTTATAATTGCAAATGAAGATTTATTGCATCCTTTTCTGAGAAATAATGGATTAAATATTATTTGAAATATTACTAGTAAGTAGTGAAACCAAAAAGTTAATATTCATTCTAATGCCACAAACATAGCAAAGATCGTTTTTGAAGTAATTTGATTACTGACAGCGTGAAGATTCTGATGTTGGGACGTAGAATTAGAGAAAAAAATATTCTTCAAAACCAACAATTTGTTGAAAGTTTAGTAGAATGGAACAATTTTGCAGCCTCATCAAAAATGGGCTGCGAATAACAGCAAACGTCATCACTGATGAAAGGGGATCCGGATGATTTCTGAAAGCTCTGCTAAACTTTCAACAAATTGTTGGTGCTGAAGAATATTTTTTTTTCTGTAATTGATTACTGTTTGGAATTAGGAAAAATGTAACCTATTCCTTTTTATTTAGGACTCAAGCTGACTTATCGCAATAATTTCTTTAATAAGTTAACAGCGCTGAAATTTAACAGCATAGGATATCTTTATCTCGCTTCATGAAACTGGCTCTAGGTTCCTTTCAAGCTATGTGCTTCAGTTCTAGACTCAATGCCAAGTCGTTTAGTTGATACTTACGTTTTCCAGTAACTTTTAGAACTAATATTCCTTATTTTATCACGTTTAAGGCTATTCAAAAAAGAGTATTTACAAAACAAATTGAATGTCAGAAACCGTATCTTCTTCAACTGTAATCCTTCAAATGATTCACAATATGAAAACCTGTGATTCAAATGCAACCTTCAAGCCACCAAGTGGTTACAACAGGTGATTAGGGATGAACGAATCATATGTTACATAACTATTATTTTGAAACATGTTGGTGGTGGAGCCGCACGAAAATCTCTCGCGTATAATCATGTATTTTACCAGAGAGATTTTCGTATTTAGCGAAACTCATTTGAAAGTTAAGGTTTCGCTTTACAAATAATGACCTCGTCAACACGGCTTTTACTAATTAATAGTGCAGACAACGTTACAACTCTGTTTTTGGCAAGTAAAATCATTGTCGTCGAAAGTGTTGAGTAAACGAACCCTCCAGACCAAAGCCCAAACTATTTTGCCCAACTCGTCTTACGTTCTGTCGTCTTTTTCTCCAGAATTTATTTAAAGCGTCTTTGAAAATTTGCATTCTGAAACTGTAGACGAGGGGGTTCACCATAGAGTTTGCCAGATACATGGCATCCACGAGCCAAAAGACCTGTGGTGCAGAAAAGCAGGTCGGACAGAATCCTCTCGTTGAGTAGACGACAAAACCAGGCATCCAAAACACAAGCGATGTAGCAATTGTGATATAAAGTGTTTTTGCAAGCCGTAAATTGTGCTCCCTTGATCCCTGCTTCTGATTGTCTACCGTGGCCGATGATCTTGCGCGCAATCGAGTACGTATGCTAAGGTAACTTGTACAAATTATCAAGATGGAAATAAGAAGGGATATCTTACTCGCGGCCAAAACATATCCCCCCTTCAATTCTGACAAATGGAAGGATAATACGGTAAAACCAAAGAAAACAAGGCTGACGGCCCAAACAATAACGATGCTATAGATGTAAACACGACTGTTTGTAATGCGATGGCGGATTGGCCGCAAGACGGCGAAAGCACGTTCCAAGGAGACAAGGGCGAGAAAATAAACGGACGAACTCGAAAAAAGCATAACAAATGCCGCTGAGGGATTTGATCGGCTCTGTCTTAATACACTGCCTGCGTAACCCTCTCCAGTATCTTGAAATTTCACCGTTCCTATGACAATAAGTTCTGTAATCCCCACAAGAAAATCTGCGACTGCGAGGTTGACCAGAAGGAAATAAGTACGTGTTAGGCGGGATCTCTGGGTCCAAAAGACGAAGATAGTAAACGCGTTTCCAACGATGATAATGATTCCTTGTACTGTGTAGATGACCACGAGGGTAATGTACGTTGAAGTAGGCATCTCCCTGCTCGTTCTGATGTCAATTTATCCCAGCAGTCGCGAAACAGCTCTTACATGTACAGTTGAAAAGAAATGATGAACTCAGCATATAAATGGCCTTCGTCTATTATTTCAGTAAGGAAAATCATGGAAATACAGGTGCCGCTGATCTTTAGTTCGATAAGCTTCAAATAGCTGCGTTGTGTCGAGGATATTCGATTAATCTGAGATGTCGCACCTGAATCAATAGGCCATTATCGAGTTCCCCTGGGCCTCTGTATCAAAACGAGGTTAAGTGCTCAGCCTTTGATATGGAAATGATTTTTCATTCTCATGCAAATAAAACTCATTTCCACAAGAAAGGTTGTGCACTTGGCCTCATTTTGAAAGTGACGGTTTTTGGAACTCGGAAGTAGCTAACTAAAATTTATAGGAATTAAAGGGGATAACGTCCTTTCACATATGCCCCAGGGGTTTTGAAGAATTTAAATTCTTAACAGCAGGTGTAAGTAAACACGATTATTTGCGTCTTATGCGATAATAACATACTACTGCCATGATTCATTGAGGCACGAAGTCGGTCCCGTGAAAAACAAAATAACCTTACCCTCTGTGCTTTAAGATTTCTTTGGCCAATCAACATTTCGTCAAAGCAAAGACTGAATTATATTAGTGCATGGGCCAGGACCCAAAAATGAGAGAGTAGGTACCACTTGGGAGGAAAAAGGCTTATATCCCTGGATCATTGATTCCTTGTCTAAAGTTTATATTAAAGTGTGATAGCAAGGTGACTCACAGCCTTTTAAGGGATGAGGGGTATGCTAACAACCTGTTCAATCCCCTTTTATGCTTGATCTTAAACGATTTCTAGTAACAGGAGATCACAAAAAAAAGATTCAAAAAGCTTTGAGAAAATGCCAGAGGAAAGCGACAGCGGATGGAGTCCTTTCACTGTAGATTGTGATGATTCTTGGAAATCGCAAATTGAACGATCACTTGTTTAGTCAGATGACAAGCAAAAGCACAATCTCCTTTCATTTCTGCCCGGTTGAGTTTCTCAATATGATAGCATTTACTTTCTGGCTGCAGGAAGACTAAAAAAACAGGCGGATGTTTCAACCTAAGGTGGTTTTTCTAGCATATTTCTCTAGTATTTTCTTTTCATTTAGTCACTTGAGCAATCGGATTTTCTTAGCTTAATTCAAAGGCATTATTGACAGCGTCAAGTCAACACAGCTTTTAATATTTGATCAATTATAATATACATTCAGGGTTAATACTCCACTTTAGGCAGGTAAAATCTTTCGAATCGAAAGTGTTGGAGTAAATTCCAGACCAAAGCCCAAATTATATTGCTGAACTGGTCTTATGTTCTTCGTCTTTTTCTCCGGGATTTGTTTAAGGCGTCTTTGAAAATTTGCATTCCGAAACTGTTGACGAGAGGATTCACCATAGAATTTGCCAGATGGCAACCACGAGCCACACCACAGCTCATTGCAAGCCCTATCAATGATTTTGAGATAAAGAGCTGTAACATTGATTCTGAATAGATAGCGGTGAAGAGAAAAGTATTCAAGAAGCAACCAAATATCAAATACAATTAACAATATCAGTTATATTCCAAAGCATTATATTATAACACACGAAAGTCACTCGCATAAATGAAACCTTTGAATGCAAGAATGTTCTGTCCTTTCAGAAGTGTACTCTTTAGAGTTATCTGCTCTAACAAAGCTTTTACCTGATCCCCAATGCTATACAATCAGAGCGTTATTACTCCATTACGGGTAGTTCAAATCGTTGTCGAAAGTTGTGGAGTAAAAGAACCTTCCAGACCAAAGCCCAGACTATTTTGCTGAACTACTGGTCTGGTCGTCTTTTTTTTCAGAATTTGGGTAAAGCGTCTTTAAAAATTTGCATTGTGAAACTGTACACGAGAGGATTCACCATAGAATTTACCAGATACATGGCATCCACAAGCCAGAAACCTGTGGTGTAAAAAGCTTCGCTGACAAAATACTCTCGCTGAGTAGACAACAAAAGCAGGCATCCAAAACGCAATCGATGAAGCAATTGCTATAAAAACTTTTTTTTTTTTTTTTTTTTTATCGTAAATTGTGCTCCCTTGATCGATATATGACTGTCTAACTCCGCGGGTGGTGGTGCTCGCAATCGAGTGCGTATGCTTAGGTAACTTACACAGATTATCAAAAAGGAAATAAGAAGGCATGTCCTAAAAGGGGGGAAAACATATTCCTCCACAAAATCTGAATAATGGAAAGATAAAACTGTTAAACCAAAAACAACAAGGCCGACGGCCCAGACGATAACGATGCTACAGTTATAAACTCGACTGTTTGTGATGCGATGACAGACTGGCCGTGCGAAAGCACGTTCCATGGAGATAAGCACAAGAAAATAAACGGACGTACCCGAAAAGAAAAGTATAAAAGCCGCTATCGGGTTTGCTCGGTTTCGCGTCAAAAAACCGTAACCCTCCCCTACATTATGAGATTTAACAGTTCCAGTGATTATAAGGTCCGTAATCCCCACAAGTAAATCAGCAGCTATCAGCGACTGCGAGGTTAATCAAAAGAAAATAAGTTCGTTTTAGGCGGGATCTCTCGGTCCAGAAAACAAAGATCGTGAATGCGTTTCCGAAGACGATAAGGACGGCTTCCAGAGTGTAGATTATTACCAGGGTAATGTACGTCGAAGTAGGCATATCTTAGTTTCCTTTTTCTGTTGCCAATTTTTTATATTCAAATATGTCCCAAGGGCGGATCTAGGGGGAGGGTGCAGGGGGTGCGCACCCCCCTGAGATGACCTGCGGTTTTTGACTATAACTGGTATTTTGCGAAAAAAAACCATGTGGTTTATTGGTGTTGAAGTAGAGCAAGAGACGAGTGCACCCCCTCCTAAAAAAATCCTGGATCCGCCCCTGTGTCCCTGCCTAAATAAAAAGGAATCAGCTCTCGTACAGTTGAGAAGATATGATGCACTTAGCATAAAATGGCCTTCTTGTATTCCTTCAAAAATCCTTTTGACCTGTTGTTTAGACCAAACAGAGATATTGCGATATGGAAGTAGAATTCCCGTTGATCTTTAGAAATTAAGGCCAGATAACGGGGGCACCCACATGGCCAACCACTGTTTTCTGTAAAATATCTGTTCGGAGAAGCAAATATTGGCTAGAAGTTTCTATTCCTTCACGACGTCTCAGGACGGCTACGAATTTCTAGAAAACTGTTCCATTTATGTAAAATTTTCGAAACTTATCTGGTAAATTACCTACGATTTTCTGAAGCTTAGTTTTCCACATTTCACTCCCCAAATAATGCTATTTTTCATAAAAAAAAAAAGGAGACCTAAAATCTTCGGATTCAAAAATGTGATTGAGATAGGAATTAGAAAAATTCTTACATTCGTAAAACGATAAATTGCATCTAAACTTTTTGGGAAAATAATTCTGCAGCCCTAGTAAGTTCGAAAAGACACAAGTTCCCCTAGGATGACCGAAAAGATAGGTGACAAATTTTATAGCGCAGCTTAGAATGTATTTCTAGAAATCTAAAAGTAGTCTGTGTAGTCTAAAAAGTGTTTTCGACGTATTTAGGAGGAAATCGTCGTTGGGTGTACCTGAGATAAGCTCAGTCAATAATTGGTGTTGTGTCGAGGTAATATTCAGTATATTGAGCATACGACGTGTTTCCTCTTATACGGTATGCCCTAAAGCTTTTTAGTGAACGCCTTTCCAAAGATGACAATGATTGTTTGCAATTTGTAGATAACCAAAAGGACACTTATGCACGTTGAAGTAGGTATGTCAATAGGCTATTTCCGAGTTCAAAACTCTCCTTTCAAAACGATGGTAAGCGCCATGAGTTTTATTTGCATGAGAATAGTAACAGCTTTTAGTAACAGCTTTATTAATGTGTCAGTGTATTTAGTTTTCACAACTAGTTGGGGACATAACAACAACAAAAAAATTCATTTCCATTTCAGTAACTTCGCACCTAGCCTCGCTTTGAAACAGAGGATTGAGGCAACTCCGAAATGTTCTACTTATCTATCCAAATATGCCCTGTCTTGCCTCATTTGAGCGAATCCAAAACAGTGGATTCTGGAATCCACGCCATGGATTACGGATGTAAGGTATTGGATTCTAGTTGTTGTCAGTGCAACTTGGATTCTGGATTCCAATAGTTAGTGGGATTCCAGATTGCTTGAGCTATATTCCGAATTCAAGCCAAGATTTTGGATCCTATGAACAGAATTTTTCCGAATTTTACATTTCACAAGAAAACGTTTCCCGGATTCCAGATTCTCTTAAATGGGGCGACCTGTTAACAGCCCCCACACAATTGAAAGTTATTTTGCAGTTATCGTAAAGAATTCCGGGTTTGTTATATTATTTCTCTGTCGAAAATACCTTTTCTTTAGGCCAGTATAGTTCAAAAGAATGGTTCTCTGTCAAATTCTCTAGAACTGAAAAAATGAAAAAATCTTTTACTAGAATTGGTGTGTCTATTTGGAATTCTATTCCACTTTCTGTTAAGACTCTCAACATATCTAATTTTCGTAAAAAAATTAAATCACTACTCCTTAATGTTTTAGGTAATAAAGATAATTATTTGAATGTGAATTATTTAATAGAATATTTTGTGAAGTTAACCTGATATGTTGTATATACCTCCACTTGTAATTTTAGTCCTTTTCAAATAACAAAATTCCCTGTACTTTAATTAATATGTAAGGTGTTTCTATCTGTATGTTTTTGTATTTCTTTTCTGTTCTTTTTTCTTATGTAATTTAATAACGTCTTCATTTAAAGTCTTGTCCTGCCTAGAGTAGCATTATAGCTATTTGCAGGACATAAAATTGTAAACTTTATATTTCTTGAAATAAATACGTTGTTGTTGTTGTTGTTGTTTAGTATATCTTCGTTCATACACTCCCGTAGCCCCCTCGAAAACTGTAACCGATTCCAGACCAAACGTCAAGGTAAATACAAATATTCCTTTCTATTCAATTTTACTAAAATGTGATCTGCCTAATATTGCACTTGTCATTTGTTATCAGTAAAACATTTTATTACATGGCTGAGTCTGTTTTCGCTATGCGATTGGTCAATTTGCGGTCCTTAACTTGCTACACGGACCAAAATTTTTAAAGAAAATGCTTATTTCAAAGCTCTAAATCTCTTTTCCTCGGGAAAAAAAAGGTTTAAATAAAGTTATAAGACGCCTGTCAACCTTGAGGACTTGGATGTTGACTTTGGCCTTATACATTTTAAACTGTGTTTATTTGTGAACGAAGGCGATGAAGAAACTAACTCCTAATCTTATCGAAGAGGATTCTAGTCAGTGTTTGAAAATTTTATCCTAGTACACTGTTAAGAAGACGAAAATCGACTGGCAGAGATTCGAGACGTTTTGCCTAAGAGAAAATGAGTAATTTCTTCGACAAATACAATAACAAACATACCTGCACCCGATCATCTTGGCAAGCTTCTTTGCCACTTGCAGTGTTTTTTCAAAGACCAACAAAAGAAAGATAGAAGCGAGTTCGAGCCAGACGCAATGTCCAGTTTTCAAAGGACTCCAGCGTAACATTAACGATTGAATACTTACAGTGCTCTTAGTTTTGACCGAATAATCTTTAAAATATGTCTGTAAAGCCTGAAGACTGGGATGTTGGCTTTGCCTTTGCAAATTTTAACCCAGCTTTGTTTTAATGCGAACGAAGCTGATGTAGAAAATGAATCGTAACCTTACCGAGGAAGAGAATTCTACTCAGATTATTATTATAGTGTTTAAAAATTTTAAAGCAGATCACAGTTGAAGACAAGAATAAACTGGCAGAAAGAGAGGTTTTCCCAAACACAATAAACGAGCGAGTCCTTCGACAATGACAACAAACTTACCTTGAAAAGCTTCTTTGCCTTTTGCAGTGTTTTTTTACAAGGACAAACGGAGGAAAGATGGAAACGGCTTCTAGACAGACACAGTGTCCGGTTTCAAAAATACTCCAGCCTTGCATTAAAGAGCTAAAACTTCCGAACAGATATTTTCCGAAAATTGACATCGGGTGCCCCTGTAAATTGTTTCTATTTATCTGCCTCCTTTTAAATTACTTATTTACAAAACCCATGCCAAATACTGAGGTATCAACTTTTTATTAAAGCTTATTAGGCATTATTAGTATGCATTATGTTTTGCTAAAGCAGTTGATTAAATAACTAATCCAAAAAGTTCTATATTCATTTTATAACACGACAAAAAATTAGTTAAAGTAAAACATGTTGACCATTTGATTTGTTTGCCTCAAGTTTAACAAGGATTCAATTCCAGTCTAGATTTAGCAGCATTTTTTTTTCTGATTTGCCTCCCTTACTATTTTCTATTTATCAATTTTGGCCTTTTAATTTGTGGCGTATAGTGCTTTTTTGACTTAAACCAAATTACTGCAATACGCATGATTTGTAAAGCTCTCCCACTCCAGTAACTCACTTTCTAATGGAAAAAACGATCTGCCAAGCGGAAATATAATTTCTTTGTAGAAAATAATTAAGATAAAAGTTCCGTTCATACGAATTAGTAGAGCTCAATAAGCTTCAATTCAAGTACTGTTATTCATTCTTTGTCAGAATGAACATCCCTTCATAATCTTAGACTACAGAGGAGGAAGGTAATGAAGATGGATCCGACTTTGAGCAAGATTATTCGTAAACGGTTTTTGCAGTGATTTTTTTTACCTTAACTAAACATGGAAATTGTATATAGTTAGTATACGTACATAGATGGGTTAGGCATGTTTTGTTGAAGTCGGAAATACAGCAGATCGAATACGATGACCCCCTTCTCAATCTGCCTAATTCTTCTTATCAGACGAGAGCAACACCAATAATTGCTAATGGATGAGTCGTTTGAGATGTCCACGAAAAAGCAGTATTGAGGATAAAACGCCGATTTATATCTGCCCCTGGGGGCTAAGCCGGTTTCACAACGTCTTATTCGCATCTAAAGCAAAGACTGTATATTTCGACTGTCCTTTCTTTGGACATAGAGGGTTATCTATTATTTGTATATAAAACAGAGACGGGTGATTCAAGAACGAATAGTAGATATGAAATAAAAGTACGACTGGAGAACTTTAAAACGACCGCGAAATATTAACTTGATTTCTGTGCCGTAAGATTTTTTGGCTCATTAAAAATCTACCCATGGAATGATTTATATTTTATTCCATTCATTTCCTTTCAGGTGGAAATTACTATTTTTATGTATTGATGAAAAAGATAGCGTCATTTTCTATGTTTTTCATCATTAAAGATGTCGAAATATGGAACACCGTGTAGCTTTTTCCTGTTCATAGAAATTTCGTTTTTGAAAGTGGTATATTTTAAATTGATAAACTGTGAAATATTTTTTTTAAGTTTTACGGGGATCTCTGTGTTTTTATAAACGCATTTTGGGTTTATTCATCCGTCGTTTATAACTGTTTGAAGTGTTTGGCTAATGAGTACCATCAGGCCGGGAGTTTATAACTGCAAATGAAGATTTATCGCATCCTTTTCTGAGAAAAAATGGATTAAATATTATCTGAAATATTACTAGTAAGTAGTGAAACCAAAACGTTAATATTCATTCTAATGCCACAAACATCGCAAAGATCGTTTTTGAAGTAATTTGATTACTGGCAGCGTGAAGATTCTGATGTTCGGACGTAGAATTAGAGAAAAACATATTCTTCAAAACCAACAATTTGTTGAAAGTTTGGTAGAAGAAAATGGAACAATTTTGCAGCCTCATCAAAACTGGGCTGCGAATAACAGCAAACGTCATCACTGATGAAGGGGATCCGGATGATTTCTGAAAGCTCTGCTAAACTTTCAACAAATTGTTGGTGCTGAAGAATTTTTTTTTTTCTGTAATTGATCACTTTTTGAACTTAGGAAAAATGTAACCTATTTCTTTTTATTAAGGACTCAAGCCGACTTATAGCAATAATTTCTTGAATAAGTTAACAGCGCTAAAATTTAACAGCATAGGATATTATCTTTATCTCGCGTCATGAAGCTGGCTCTAAGTTGCTTTCAAGCTTTGTGCTTCCGTTCTAGACTCAATGCGAAGTCGTTTAGTTGATACTTACGCTTTCCAGTAAGTTTTAGATCTAATATTTTTTAATTTTCTTGAAACAAAGAAACAAACCTACATACAGCTGGTATATCACGTCTGAGGTTATTCAAAAAAAGAGTATTCTACAAAACAAATTGAATGTCCGAACCGTATCTTCTTCAACTTTAATCCTTCAAATGATTCACGATCTGAAAGCCTGTGAATCAAACAGGGGCACCCAACGACAATTTTCGGAACATTTTTTCCAAAATTTCTTGCTTGTCTGCCTCTCCTAGGATATTCGAACATCTAAAAAATGGTATAATTGCCCATTTTCAACGGATTTTCACCCTAAAAAGGTCACCTACAATTTTCGGGAGCCTTTTTTCTGGCTGAAATTTACAAATAGGTAAGTTTTGATCCCTATAATTTTCGAATCACTAGGCTTTCAGCTAGGAAATCCGAACAGATGAAAAATTTTTAGGGGATAAAATATGTCTATATCTACCGTTTTAATACTAAAATACGTTTAACAATGCTATGTTTAAGTGGTTTTGAACTATATTCTCGTTGGGTGCCCCTGTTCAAATGCAACCTTTAAGCCACCAAGTGGTTACGACAGGTGATTAGGGATAAACGAATCATATGTTACCTAACTATTATATTTGAACCATGTTGGAGGTGACCACACGAAAATCACTCGCGTATAATTATCTGTTTTACCAAGAGATTTTCGCATTTAGCGAAACTCTTTCAAAAGGTTTACAAATAATGACCTCGTCAACACCGCTTTTACTCAATTGTAATATACAGACAGGACAGTTATAACTCCGTTTTCGGCGGGTAAAATCATTGTTGTTGAAAGTGTTGAGTGAACGAACCTTCCAGACAAAAGCCCAGACTATTTTGCCTAAATGTTCTTACGTTCTGTCGTCTTTTTCTCCGGAATTTGTTTAAAGCGCCTTTGAAAATTTGCATTCTGAAACTGTAGGCGAGAGGGTTCACCATAGAATTTGCCATATGCATGGCATCCACGAGCCAAAAAACCTGTGGTGCAGAAAAGCAGGTCGGACAGAATCCTCTCGTTGAGTAGACGACAAAACCAGGCATCCAAAACACAAGCGATGTAGCAATTGTGATATAAAGTGTTTTTGCAAGCTGTAAATTGCGCTCCCTTGATCCCTGCTTATGATTGTCTACCGTGGCCGATGATCTTGCGCGCAATCGAGTACGTATGCTAAGGTAACTTGCCCAAATTATCAACATGGAAATAAGAAGGGATATCCTACTCGCGACCAAAACATATTCCCCCTTCAATTCTGACAAATGGAAGGATAATAAGATAAAAGCAAAGAAGACAAGGCCGACGACCCAAGCAATAACGATGCTATAGATGTAAACCCGACTGTTTGTAATGCGATGACGGATTGGCCACAAGACGGCGAAAGCACGATCCAAGGAGACAAGGGCGAGAAGATAAACGGACGAATTCGAAAAAAGCATTTGATCGGCTCTCCCTTAATACACCGCGTGCTTAACCCTGTCGAGTATCTTGAAATTTTACCGTTCCTATGACAATAAGTTCTGTAATCCCCACAAGAAAATCTGCGACTGCGAGGTTGACCAGAAGGAAATAAGTACGTGTTAGGCGGGATCTCTGGGTCCAAAAGGCAAAGATACGTTGAAGTAGGCATCTCCCTGCTCTTTCCGTTGTCAATTTATCCCAGCAGATCTCCCAGCAGTCGCGAAACAGCTCTTACATGCAGAGTTGAAAAGATATGATGAACTCAGGATATAAATGGCCTTCGTCGAACTATTATTTTTATGTAGACGTAGACTAATAAGGAAAATCATGGAAATACAGGTGCCGCTGATCTTTAGTTCGATAAGCTTCAAATAGCTGCGTTGTGTCAAGGATATACGATTAATCTGAGATGTCGCACCTGAATCAATAGGCCATTACCGAGTTCCCACGGGCCTCTGTATCAAAACGGTGTCCTGAAGAACAGAATAACCTTTCCCTCTGTGTTTTAAGATTTCTTTGGCAAATCGTCAATGCAAAAATTGAATTATATTAGTGCATAGGCCAGGACCCAAAAATGAGAGAGTAGGTACCACTTGGGAGGACAAAGGCTTATATCCCTGGATCATTGACTCCCTGTGTAAAGTTTATATCAAAGTGTGATAGCAAGGTGACTCACAGCCTTTTAAGGGATGAGGGGCGTGCTAACAACCTGTTCAATCCCCTTTTATGCTTGATCTTAAACGATTTCTAGTAATAGGAGATCACGAAAAAAACTTCAAACAGCTTTGAGAAAATGCCAGAGGAAAGCGTCCGTGGATGAAGTCCTTTCACTGTAGATTGTGATGATTCTTGGAAATCACAAATTGAACGATCACGTGTTTAGTCAGATGACAAGCAAAGACACAATCTCCTTTCATTTCTGCCCTGTTGAGTTTCTCACTATGATAGCATTTACTTTCTGGCTGCAGGAAGACTAAAAAAAACAGGCGGATGTTTCAACCTAAGGTGGTTTTTCTGGCATATTTCTCTAGTATTTTCTTTTCTTTTAGTCACTTGAGCAATCGGATTTTCTTAGCTTAATTCAAAGGCATTATTGACCGCGTCAAGTCAACACAGCTTTTAATATTTGATCAATTATAATATACATTCAGGGTTAATACTCTACTTTAGGAAGGTAAAATCTCTAGAATCGAAAGTGTTGGAGTAAAAGAACCTTCCAGACCAAAGCCCAAATTCTATAGACTGTTTCCACTCACGTCGCCAGCATCTATGCAAGTTTATTGGAACAAAAGATAGCGTTTGCATAAGAAAAGAGTACAACTCCAAGAGGATTGGTTTAGGACACCAACATGGCCGCCGTTTCATTGCTTTGGGACACCAATATGGCCGCCGTGACGTCATGTGAAAACACTCTATTGCTGAACTGGTCTTATGTTTTTCGTCTTTTTCTCCGGGATCGCGTCCTAAAAAATTTGCATTCTGAAACTGTACACGAGAGGATTCACCATAGAATTTACCAGATACATGGCATCCACGACCCAAAACACAAGAGGTGTAAAGCATCGCTGACAAAATTCTCTCGTTGAGTAGACAACAAAAGCAGGCATCCAAAACGCAAGCGATGAAGCAATTGCTATAAAAACTGTTTTTGAAAATCGTAAATTGTGCTCCCTTGATCGATGCCTGTGATTGTCTAGCTCCGCGGGTGGTGGTGCTCGCAATCGAGTGCGTATGCTTAGGTAACTGACACAGATTATCAAAAAGGAAATAAGAAGGCATGTCCTAAAAGGGAGGAAAACATATTCCCCCACAAAATCTAAATAATGGAAGGATAATAAGGTAAAACCAAAGAAAGCAAGGCCGACAGCCCAAACAATATCGATCCTACAGTTGTAAACTCGACTGTTTGTTATGCGATGACGGATTGGCCGTAAGACAGCGAAAGCACGTTCCCGAAAAGAGAAGTATAAAAGCCGCTATCGGGTTTGCTCGGCTCCGCATCAAAAAACCGTAACCCTCCCCTACATTATGAGATTTAGCAGTTCCAATGATTATAAATTCCGTAATCCCCACAAGTAAATCGGCGACTGTAAGGTTGATCAAAAGAAAATAAGTTCGTTTTAGGCAGGATCTCTCGGTTCAGAAAATAAAGATCGTGAATGCGTTTCCGAAGACAAGAAGGAATGCTTCCAGAGTGTAGATTATTACCAGGGTAATGTACGTCGAAGTAGGCATATCTTTAATTTGCTTTTTCTGTTTTTCAGTCAAATATGTTCTGTCCTAAAAAAAAAGGAATCAGCTAGCGCACAGTTGAGAAGATATGATGCACTTAGCATAAAATGGCCTTTTTGTATTGTTTCTCCGTCAAAATGCTTTTTGACCTTTTTGTTTAGACCAAACGGAGATATTGCTATATGGAAGTGGAATTTCCGTTGATTTTTAGAAATTAAGGCCAGCTAACAGGGGCACCCATGGCCAAAGGCCAACGACTGTTTTCTGTAAAATATTTGTTCAGAGAAGCAAATGTTGCCTAAAAATTTCTATTGCTTAAGGACGGCTACAAATTTCTAGATGACATGAATGTTCCATTGTTCTACAATTTTCGAAACTTATCTAATAAATTACCTGCGATTTTCTGAAGCTTAATTTTCCACATTTCACTCCCCAAATAATGTTTATGGGAGACCTAAAATCTTCGGATTCAAAAATGTGATTGAGATAGGAATCAGAAAAATTCTCACATTCGTAAAACGATAAATTGCATCTAAAATTTTCGGGAAAATAATTCTGAAGCCCTTGTAATTTCGAAAAGACTCAAGTTCCCCGAGGATGACCGAACAGATAGGTGACAATTTTATAGCGCATCTTACTATAGAACGTATCAATAGGAATCTAAAAGTACTCTGTGTAGCCTGAAAAGTGCTTTCAGCGTATTAGTAAAGTCTTCGTTGGGTGCCCCTGAGATAAGCTCAATAATGTAATGTTGTGCCGAGGACACTTGTGCGACTAAATGAGTATATTGAGTATAGATCGTTTTCACTGTCACCCAACAAAGAATTAAATTAGAAACCCTCCGGTAGAAGAAGCTAAGGAAACTAAGGAAATGAAGTGTTATAAAAGACTTAATATATAAACAATTTGTCTCAGGTCTCAGGTCTCTGTGGCCCATAGTTTCTGAGTTATTTGCCGAACAGATCATAGGAGGCTACCCAAAAATAACTACATTTTTGAGTATCCCTGAAATTTAGTTTGGTGACAAAATGCAACGCACCTTTCATTAAAAAAACTCAGCCGGTTAAAAAGTGATATTTTTGATGAAAATCCTGAAAGGAAGGAACTGTTCGATGCCATCAATGCAACAAAGGAAGGTAAAGCCTCTGGAAGGTGTGGTATACCTGCCGAAATCTGAAAACATTGTGGCTGTGAAACTCGCCTCTAGCCTGTACAAACTGAGTTTGCAGATCAGGGAAAGATGGCATTATCGTGCCAGTCTTCAAGAAGGGAAGAAGAAAGGACTGTGGGAACTATCGAGGTATTTTTCTCTTCTCTCAATAGCAAAAAAGATCTTGACTCGCATACTCCTCAACAGACTGAACGAACACATTGTCCCCATATCGTGCCTGAGACTCGATGTGGTATTCGCAGTGCATGGTAGAGGCACTGTGGATATGATCGATCCTATGTTTTGCGACAGTTATAAGAGAAGTGTGAAGAGCATAATATGCCGCTGTATGCCGTTTTTATTGACTTCTCTGAGGCTTTTGATACAGTGTTCGGAAAGTATTGATGTACTGCTGAATTTATCAATCTGGCGAGGGCACTGCACAACGCAATGTTAACATGTTAACATGTGGATCAATGAAGCTACATCTCCAAGGTATTTGCTGTCACCGATTTTGTCAAGCAAGGTTGCGTGCTTGCTCCGACACTGTTCTCTCTCTACCTAACAGCAATACTAAAGGCGGCCTTTGACGGTGTTGGGGACGGTATCTTCATCCAAACTCGTACTAATGCTGGCCTGTTTAACGTACCCCTTTTCAAAGCAAAAACACGCACAACCTAGATCCTAGGGAGGGAAATAATGTTTACAGATGATAGTGCTGTAGTTGCCCACAGTGCTGGTGACATTCAGAGTCTGGTGGACAGCTTAACCAGAGTTGCCTCCCAATTTGGCCTAAGTTCAACATCAAGAAAACTGAGTGCTTAAACCAACCGCTGTAAAACTTAGATCCAGTTGCTGAGCCAACAACTAAAACTATCAATCAAGAGGCCCTGATGCAGTGATACGACTTCAGATACCTAGGAAGCACTATTTCCAACAATACTAGCCAAGACCGTGAACTACAATAAAGGATGGCAATTGCAAGTGCTGCTTTTGGAAAACCACAGGACAGGTTTTGGAAAAACCGGCATGTGTCTATTGAAGTCAAGTGCAATGTCTGTCAAGGTGTTGTCCTTTCTTCCCTCCTCTGTGGTGCTGAAACATGCATGGACTATGCATCAGCGTAAGTGAAGAAGCTTTTGCCTAGTCCCAAGGCCTCATTATCCTACCCGGCCAAAGCGTTTCGAGTCACGTGGTCAAAGCAAAAATGTGTTTTGTGCCCGTTCGACTCGGGTACGTCACCGAAGTGAATTGACCGAGAGGGCCTGGGAAAACGCCGTACAGGGACTAGCTCCATGCCTATATATGGTGGAACATCTAAAAGTAATAATGAACCGAACGTATCCTGGAAGGACAAGAACACGCAAGTGGGGTCTCTGCCTTGCAGGATTACTATCAATGGCTGATATTCTCATTGAGAAAAATGTAAGACGGCTGGGTCACATGCATAGGATGAATAATAACAGACTACCAAAGTAGCTGTTAGCTGCTACAAAATATGCAGCTGTCAACTCTGTTTGGTAATGGGTAATCAAGGGAGGCCTAGATAAAGGTTCACAGATGTTGCAAGTGAAGAAAAACATGAAATGGAGAGAC